CAGTTGAGACATCCTCCATCTCGCTGTTTTGCATTGTCACTCAGCAGAACCGTCCAGAATGATCAACAATGAAGTCGATTGAAGAGCACTCTACGGGCAGCACGGACGGCTGTGACTGGGCTGTGAACTGGTCAAGGAAAAGGGCGAAAACTAGTCAGCTGTACCCGCATGCTGACGGGATGCAATACAGTTTTTCAGTCATGGGTTTATGGTGTACGGAATTTGGTTTAGTATGTGATTATGATAGATTTTCCAGTACTATGAGCCGGGGACAAAGAGGCACAGCATGTGCAGGGCGTGTGGTGAGGGTCCCTGAATGAGAGGCTGGCCTGTTCGTAAGGAGCTTTTGAGTGACTTTTGCAGAAGAAAAGGCCAAATTCTGGTCCATTTTGAGGGGACCATTGACCGTAGGGGTTGTCCTTCAATGGACCTGAACTTTTGCAAAAGGTTCTAGGACCTTGACAGGACAAGTACTGGCAGGGTATAGGGGTCCAGTGAGGCGTGATGGGACGTTGTGTGCGGCTGCTAATAGTACTTTGTGGTTTTGCACCCGTACGGGAGACCACCCTTTTGACATTTCGTGTAATGTACTGTATGTTGGACGTGACCGCGCCCTCCTGCATCTGGTCCACGCGGGTTGCGCCTACGCCCTGCCTATGCCTGCTGTGCCCGGTCTGCTCGGCGCGCCGCAACACCCCAGCCTCCCTGACCGTGCAGGGACCATCGGAAGCCCTCCCTCGCCATGGCCGGAGCATCCCCACGTTCGGCAGGCGGGTCGAACGCGCTCCCGTTCGGTGCCTGCGGACCCTCCGGTTCCGCCATGTTGCATAGCGGAGCGGTGCTTTCTCTCCCTCTGGGGATATTTGTGGATCCGTGCACGCAGGGACAAAGGGGCCCGGGGGAGCCTTTGGTCGGCCCAGACGAAGCGGGCAAAGTCGTGCTCGCGTGCCGCAATGGGCTCGGTGGAGCGGAGGCAGGGGCCATGGCCTCCGGCCCTGGAACGCCCCTCTTTTGGCTCCACTCAGCTTTTGATGCCACGACTCGGTGGCGGGTAAGGCACCTAAACGGCCAGCTATTTGCCGTCCGAGCCTATTGGGTTGCGGCGATCCCCAACGTCCGGTTGGGTGATCGACTTCGACGGAGTGTGTTTGCCACGAATTGGCGCGGCGAAGGAGCTTGGAGCATCTCCGAGCGAGATGCTTGGATGGCCGCCGAGCGCGACGGCCCGGACAGCCCGCCCGCGCCGTTCACGTGGGCTGGAGAGGGGTGCGTGGGCGGCCTCGCCGAAGGGGATGGAGGCCTGCCGGTGGGAATGGTGGAGCGCGCCACCCGGGCGTACTGGAGGGTGGTCGCCGCGTCAAGATGGAAATGTTACGTAACTACTGAATGGGACGTGGAGCTGCCAGGGCCGGAAGGAAGCTGGATGATGCAGGGTATTCAATTGAGGGCACGCATATCGTACATGGGGAAAAGGGAGGTAGAATGGGTTAGGCAGCCGGGGGACAATACATACTATGGAACTGTGGGGTGTGATGGGTGTACATGGGATGAAAAATGCATTAGATGTATTTTTGGTTTGGATAGGGGGATTGCCTCTAATTTGATGTTTCAGGAACCGACTGCTTTTAGTTCCTCACAGCACGAGTGGGAAGAGGATGTACAGCAGTACATCCTGATAAGAGTACTGCCAAGGGGCGCTGACGGGTGTTGATTAATGTTGTAGTGTTGAAAAGTGATTTTTTTGATTGTATTGTGTGACCCTTTGGAAAGGGTCAACTTGGAGAAGGTCAATGGGAAGTTCTGAGAGGTACAAGGAGTACTGGGGCCTTTTTCTCAAGGTGTCTCTTTGAATATCCAAGGGTTGTTGAAGTTGTAGTGTTGTTGGAGCTGGCGGGGGTATTAAGGAGGGGTTGTTTGGGTTGTGAGTGCCCTCTCCCCGCTCTCTCCGCCCCCCACCCGTCCGTTATTGGTTCTAGCGGTCTGAACGGCGGGTGTTCTGTTGAGAACAGACGTGCCGTGAACGTGTGGGGTTCGAATGCTGTCAAGGGGAGCTCCGTTGTAACGAACACGTTCAGTTCTGTGTGTTTCTGGCTCCTGACCCTCCGGGTCAATTGCCTTTTGGGTTGTGCACCGCTGCACATACCCACAGCTCGTCGTTGAGCTTGTTCCCCGTTTCGTTGACCGACTGACCCGCGTGCGCTCATGTTGGGCGCTGTATTCGTCGACTCATCGGCTCGTCACCATCGTCCGCTGCTTGGCGAGTGAGTGGAGTGCAGCGCTGGTCCGCAAGGAACGAGCATTGACAACATTGGTTTGCGATATCTGGAGATTGGTCAGTACGTTCGATATAGTGAGCTACTGAGCGAGGTGTGGAGTGTTGGTTTGCAGTTTGAGCGTGTTTTTTCGTGCCTCTCGTCGAGCTGATCAGCCCTTGCATGTTTCTCGTCGTATGTGAAAGGATAAGGTGGAGTTGAGTACGAAATTCAGCTCTGGGGTTGCGCCTCGCTTCGGCAGCGCTCGACAAGACCCCAAGTGTCCTGTTGGGTTTGAATTTACTTGCTGTTGTGATTCTCGTTGTCCTGTGAGTGTCTATGAGCTGAGTTGGTAAAAGTGCTGGAGCAGATGCTCAGAAATTCTGGGCGATTGACAGGGCTGTGATAGCGGTTGTGTTTTCTGTGACTCTCATTGAGCGCATATGGCTGATCATTGAGTCATATCGCTGTTCTCAAGTGTAGGCACCCTCCTGTTGGTGCTTGACAGCTGTTTGTAACATCATGGCACTCGAACACTACTAGCGAAGCGACTGGGCACACAAGTTGTGGGTACCTCGGGTGGGATTGGGACAAACAATGTCGTTGTAATGTATTGGTCCAGGATGTGTGTGGACCTGGGCGGGACAAGGAGCCCGGCCCAGCGGAAATGTAAGCAGCCGCACCCAAGCCCATGCTTTGGAGAATTAATGATCGTCACTCGCTTCACAGGCATTCCTGACCGGTTGGTATGTTGGCATGTTGTCAATCCAAATCCGTGTGTTAAAGTTCCTTAGCCATCTCGGCTCGAGATCCCGCTTGTCACAATCGAAAGCGCGCAGCGATGGACCACAACGCAGCATAAATCAAACCGTTTTGGTTCGGCCTCTGTGGCAACCTTGGTGCATGCGGCGCTCGAACGCACTCGCCGTGCATGGTCGAACAAGCAGCCGAGACTCAACTTGTCTTACAACCAAGCCAAGGGAAGCCACGAACAACTCTCGGGCTCTCTTCAAATACCAGAATGCGCCTCTCCTTTCGCCCACCAGAAACTCACACTCAGAACGGCAGACTGAACTCACACTTCACACACGCACAACACGCTACCCCACAGCACCGACCCACAGCATCGACCCACGGCACTGACCCAAAGCTCCAACCCACAGTGCCAACTCACGATCACCAAACTTAGTAAGATTGAAGCTGATTGTTGGCCAGCCATCCTCCCGCCATCTCAATCAGGTCAATGTGTGCACCAGTCAGCCAGCACATGGACAGGTGCTTGCACAACATGGCCGCCGTGGCTGTCTTGGTGTGTCAGACTTTCATCTCTTCGAACTGGCGTTTTAAGCTGCATTCACTTCTCTCATTGAGTTTCACTGCACATCAGTGTTTAGCCACCGACCTCCAATTCTGAGAGCTGGAAAGTTGCATGTGAAACATCGAGAAAAGGTGACAGCCATTCAAAGACATTGTTGATGGCATTCCTCGAAACGGGATTCTCATATGCCACCATTTAATCATCGGATCGCAAATAAATAATTGACGGAGGCAGATCAGTGGTCAATTACTCGTAATTCAAACAGTTGGCTGATGTGATTTTGACTGTGGTGATACGGCGCCCTCTTGCGCCAGTGGCAGAGAGCCGGTGCAGAAGACATTGGCGCCATAGGCTGTCTTCTCGCATCGAAATCCAGTCCATGACCGACCATGAAAACAGCCGTTCTGTCGTCCGTTCCACTTGCGTATCAGATTGGTGTCCAGAACAAGCGCCCCGCTGCCTGTGCGACATGACCTAAAGTATGCCGGCACTAACAAAACGGTTGAACAAAGCGAGCCCCCGCAGAAGCTGGGATGCGTTTATATTGTTCTGGCGGGAAATGGTTGGGAGGTTTCAGCGGTAGCGCTGACAGCAAATGCCAGTCAAGATCAAGGGCGCAGCAGTATGCAAAGATAGATTACACAAAAACAACACCCCGTTCTCAAATTCACCCCTGGATTTTCCCAGCGCTGCCCTTGATATTCATTCCAATCTCATCTATCAGCTCAACACAAGCCACTGAGATGTGCTGTAGTCTGCGCACAGCACCACAGGCCTCTGCCCCTCTGTTCCTTCAGTTCGCTGACTCCCGGGGTCGGGGGTTGACACAGCTTTTTGTAGTCTGCCATTCGACTGCAAGGCCAACACTCAATTGACACCCTGAAGCACGCAGTGACCTGCCACAGCTTCGTCTCGGATTCGCCATCAAGATCTGCCGACAGCGGCCACCCCGCTGAGGTCCCTTATTACCACAAGCCCTTTCCCCCAACCCCGATAAGACCCACCCCCAGGAACCTGCCCAGATACAGACCTGTCGACAATAGCAATCAGGCAAAACAGGTTGACTGAAGTGCAGTGGGTACAGGAAAGTACGTACAGACAGTAACAACTGTGTTTGGTGTGTGGGTAGACAGCTCCACATGTGTGGGGGGCACCGTGTTGACAGGCAGACAGGCGCTCCAATGTGAACAACACGACAGACAACCTAAGGCCGCTCTCCAAACCCACCCAATCACCCCACCCACAAATCCCCGTGACACTTGCCTGCCTAAGACACTCCCCACTCCCATTAGCATACCTGTATTTTCCCAGTGACTCCCAACCAACCAAGTCAACAGCTCTCTGCAGTACGTGCTCTGATAACGGCAGGCTGCAGGTTATGTTGATGCAAAGCTCAGGAGTCCAAACGGCGGCAGGGATTCAACCATTGTTCACGATTTGGACTTGCTGTCCGACTGCGATGAATAGGAGGAGCGACCCCCTGATGAAGAAGTGCCAGAGCCACTTTGAGAGCTCCCTGAGGAGGAGTAAGAGGATGCTGCAACGGGTTTCGCAGTCCTGCTATGCTCATTCTTTCGAGCTGGAGACCGTCCCTGTTACAACCATCGCAAAGACAGTCAGCACAGGCATCAGCTTGTATGATTTTGGCTTGGATGCACAACCTGCTGAGAAAAAACTCAATGTCCAAAATGTGATGCTCAATGGTTTGGCAAACTCTCTGCCACCAGCAAACCCAACACCGCAGTTAAGTTGATGGCAACGCAGCCACACATCAAGCTGCAAGGCACTACAGCAGACATGCGTATGATGCAGGCATATGATGCAGAATGGGCCCCTACCTCCGTGGCAACAATACAGCCTTGTGCCCATCAATGCAACAAACAGACAAGCTCTGCTACGGAGTGTTTGGGGAAGAGGGGGTAAATTAACCAACAATGTCCTTATGCCCCAATCTAATTGACAAACCTGCATATTGTTTTGCCTAATGTGCATGCATCAACAGTTGCTTTTCTCTGCTCGTCCCTCCAACCACAAGAAAACCTTCGCTTGTGGCTCCTGCGCTTGTTGCCATTGTTCAATTGTGAAAGGTTCCAGATGTCTCTTAAGAATGAAATGAGTATCCTGTGCACTTTATGGTCGCGGCAATGAATGCAGGCCAAGGTCTGGAGTGATGATGCATGTCACAAAACCAAATCATATAATGACAACCCCTGGGCAAGCGCAGATCGCGTTCCGTTTCATCGTCTTGTGGGTGCCCATTCCGGCAGTTGACTGCACTGCTCAGGGATGCTGAAGCATAAACCACCGATAATATACTGGACTGTAGACAACAGCGATCCGCTGATGCGTCACAGCTCAAATTCTGCTGTTTGACTGGAATGTGTACCCGCAGTTCCCACACAGCCAGTTTGGGTTCCTGCCAAAATTGAACTACCAAGGACAACACATCCCTGGAATATCGCATAACCAGGCTTACTGCCTGCCCTTCGACTTGCTCCAACCAAATGCAATGGTAAAGAAAGCTATTTTGGTGTTCTTTGGGACATTATCCTTCCAAAAGGCACCCTTTCCACATTCAAGAATGCAGGACACAACTATGGAAAGCAACTCATCTACAGCTTGCTTAGAACTGGCCACCGAACTGCACACATCCACACACGATGAAATACACTGACATCAGATTATGACTTGCGGCTAGGAATGACTGGCACCACTAGTGCAGTACCCTTGCGCCCCTTCCTCGTGGCGGCATGGCCCTGTTAAATCTTGGTGATGGTGAGGGCCGACGACGGGGTGGTGATGGTGAACGTCGGCGCCTTGGTGGGCTCTGCTGTATACGGCGAGCATAACCACGGGGAGGAGACCTACAGCACACAACAGCAGTGTCAACACAGTGGTGCTTGCAGTCAAAACATTCAGGCATTGATGCGTCCTCCTGGTTATCTCCCCCAGCACAACACTCTATAGGAAACAACCTCATTCATGCAGCATTCAATCCGTCCATTACCTGGCAATAGGCATGAACTACTCAACCAGCCTGGGGGTGTGGTCTTGTGCACCTGTGTTCTGTATGTTTGCCATGCACAGTACAGCTCTGTCACAATGCATGCATCACCACCATGCAGTGCGACAACCTGCTTGCGAGTGCCAACAGTGTAGCACGGAGCAAAGCTGGGGGACCATTGTGGGCAACAAAGAAACCACGTTCTTTGGCCCCGCTGGCAGGCAGCAGTGCCATCACCAAGTTGTTGAAATGTTGAGCCTGGCTTCATCTACCAGACTTTGACAGCATAGCGATGTACGAGCTGTTGCAACGCTGTACTTCAAGTAGGCTTTAGGTTCTGTTAGGGAATGATAGGCTGCCATGCAGGTGTGCATGCATAGAATTTAATGCATGATGCAGTGGGTGGACACACTTGCTGCACTTTCTTTTGGCACCAACACAACACAACACACTGAATATCTCCTTTCTCAATGGTGGCTGCATGGAAGACTTCTATTTCTATACATCTGACGAATCCCTATTTTAAGGAAATCAGCTAATAGACCACATACTTGTAAATTTCATGCTGCTGCTATCACCACCAAGACTGGTCCCATGAGTGCCATACCTCCGTCGTGGTGATGGATACCTCCTGCTGTCCACAGGCGATCTGTAACGTGGTGGAGAGCGCCTGGGGGGAGGTGACCTCTGTCGGAGAGGAGGAGGTGAGTGCCGTCTGTGTGAGAATGGAGAACGCCTGGCCCCAGGGGACCACCTTCTGGGGCTCCTTCTACCCCTCTCCTTGTCTCCTGGCTTCCCTTTCTCCCTTACCCTTCCCCTTTCCCACCCAACACCGTGCTCCCTCAGAGTCGCACCATCTCGTCTGGCAGGACTCTGAGGAGGATGAGCCACAGGGGATGGTACTTTTCTCAGAGGCACTGGAACCAAGCGCACGCTGCATGCATCAAGTCAAAAAGGTCAAACAAGAACAGAGTGGGGAAAATGTTCACAGCTACACCCTCCTTTATGTGTTATACAGATGCCATGACAGTTGACTGGCACTGGCATGTCGACACACAGAGTGACCTGCCAGCGCATAAGGGACCGTGTCGACATTCAAGACACACGTCGCCGCCTCAAGGGAACTCCTCGTGACTGCATCAGTGCATTTTCATGCAACACTTGATGCAGGCAAACATGGTATTTCATGTACCACTGCTGTTAGCATGGGAGCTGGAGCAGGTATTCATATGTCCAGCTCCAGCAACCACCGTAGTGACAGTAGCACACACACAAGGGGTGACGCCATAGAGATTTTGTCATGCACAACAACAATTTGGCATCAAGATGTGTAGGTCCAGATCCATGGCGTTGTGAAATTATTCAACTGCCTGATGTGATTAAGGCGCAGACGAGGTCCCAAGCCCCCCTGAACTGTCCAAAAAGAATCCAGAGCACTGAACATGCGGCTGACATCCGCAGCCAGTGCAGTGGCTACTGCAAGCACTGGTGCTGCCCTTTGACCCAGTTCACCAACTCCAACAACCTGGAACACCCATCTATTGCGGCACAGACAGCCAAAGCTCTGATATGTCACCATACGATGCAGCATATGCAGATTTAAAATATGGACTGGCACCAAGCAGGGCTTCAGGAGGTGGGGCCTCAGCACAACGCCAACCTGGCATTCGACATACCAAATTTGCTATTGTGAGCAGCCCTGAGTGAAACTTGCAACACTTCTCATCACAACATCGGCTGGGATGTTTTCTTGCTCAGGTCTTATCTATTGGAGCAATGGTAGGCGTGGGCACAATCCTACTGCATGCTGACAACTACCATAATGTGCTACACCTTTTCATAATTTGAAACTTGAGAGTATTACGCTTTGGCTCCAAAGTTGTCAGAATCATAGTTGCCCACTATTCTTTCTGCACTGGACCCTGGCAAGCAAGCATAATTTGGGAACCCGCTTGCAAAGCTTTGCAAGGAGCAGAGGAATTTGCAGGTTGCCGCAAAGAAAAAAAAACTCCGCTTGGAGCCCGCCAGGGTGTTTCTATTCTCTGCAGCTCTGCAGCTCTGCTACCTTCCCGTGCATTTGAAGACCCAGCATTACATCACTGTGTGCTGAAAATGTGCAAAAGTAAGCTATTTCTTCCTTGTGGTTTGGAGTCTCAATGCCCCATGCAATTACTGTTGTCATCGCTTGCAAAATAGCAGGTTTCAGATGCCTTATCTGCCTGCAACATTTCCCAAGTTCTGGAGTTCGCTTTGATCATCACGTCATCAAGCACAATGACGCAGCCAACAACCAAACCACACCAAGTGACGAACATATACTAACCATATTTCGCTGCCATCGATCTGGCCTCCATCCATGTAGTCCATAGCCTTGTGTGCTGCTTCTCTGTTTTCGAATTCTACGTGCGCATATCCTCGAGGAAGGTTGACGGCTTTGTCGATCGCAAGCACTACATTCTTCACGTTGCCAAACTTGGAAAATATCTCGTGCACATGCTCTCCCATAACATTTCGTGTCAGCTTTCCTACATACAACCTGGTGGTCTGAGGTGGGCTCGTCTCCTATGCAACACCACATTTAAGCTTGGGCCTGGTTTCCTCCGTCAGAGAACCTGCCCAGGCCAGGTCAATACAAAGAAATGCAGCAATGCTTTCAACATAAAGCAACGTAAACGTTGAAAACAAAACAACAGTGTGTTCTCAAGTTGAGGTGGGCTAAACAGAGGCCGAACGGGGCCAAATCGCAGGTTTAACGGCAGCCTGGCCGCTAAAAAGCAAAACCAATGCAGCTCTTCCAGCCAAATCATTGTTGTCTATCTCTTAACATCAACAACTCAGCACAACACAACTATTGCAGAACCAGTACAAGTTCACACCCGGCATTTGCTTCCCATGGGGTCCATGTCAGCGGATCCACTTTCAATACGCTGATCTGCCACCAAGTAGGTAGGACCATGCAGCACCCTGAGGCGCGCGACCTGACCAGAGACACGCCCACCAAAGCGGACATGGGCCCACTGTTCGTCGCTGTCCCACCTTCGCCAACTTGCGCCGCTCGCCGTTCTCCCCGTGATTGGGCTCCGGGCTAGGCGGCCCCCGCTTCGCTTGCTTGATCCTTCCAGCGGCGGCTGCGTCGCCACCCGAATCCCGCCTTGCCGCCTGCGGCCTGTTCCTGTCCGCTGCACCATGCCGTTCGTTCTCGCGTGAGGGGGGCCGTTCCTGCGGGCTGTCCTGCGGGTGTCGAGCGGCGGGTCCCTCCTTGCGCTGCGGTGCTGGCGATGCGCTGCGACTTTCGCTGCTGCGGGCGGGCAAGACAGGCGGGTTGAGATCGTGCCAGGAAAGCACAACGGACCCTGTACACCGCATCACAACGAAACAACAACGCGGCAACAAAACCTGAATACGGCGGGCCCCCACGACTCAGCGCATGGCGCGCTCTTAACCCAGGGAGCCGCGACGTCGCTCTTGGAACAACGTCGCCACCACGTGCCGCCCAAAGGCCAGCCATGGAGCTCCGCAGTCTGTTTCATGTGCGCGTCGATCAATGCGATCAAGGCAGCCGCGAGCCTGCAGGGAAACGACACAAAAGGGGGCAGGGGGCCGGCCTCACCACGAAGACGAGCTGTCGGAAGTCGATGAGCTCTCGAACTCGGAGTAGGAGGAGCCAGAAGGGGTGGGAGGCCGGGGCGCCGGGCGCCCTGCGGGCTTGGAGGGTGCCATTCTTCGCACGATCCTCGTCGGTCCTTCCGTCCTGGGTCCTTCTCAACAGCCAGGGGAACGCATTTTTCAGCCAGAGATGATGACAGGATGTACGATAGTCCGGCGAGATTCGTACAGAGATAGCGGCGTGCTTTTTCTTCAAACGCAAAGTTGCACAATTACCTTCTTTGATCAAAGGCGTATTAGCCATCGCAGGCCAGCTGCTCCAAAAAAAATGAGGCGGCGGAAGCAATGGACGGCTCATTGTCAACAGCTCCATCCTTCGGCAACTCCAGGCCCAATACCATGGCACCCTTTGCGGACAGGGGACGTCAGGGTCCAGGACAAGGACGACGGCAGACAAAACGTCGATGTCTCCAAGGATCCATGTCAGTGTCCTGAGTCCCGCACAGTGCATCGCATTTTCGATTCCCAATCAGATTATCTCCAATTTGCCAGGTACAACATCACAGCTTCTGTGGCCTCAGCGCAGTGACCAGTTGGTCGAGGTTCGCTTCGGTTGCATAGCTTGGCCAGAAGACACAACAGAAGTGCCGCGCCAAAGCGAGTCCAAAGAATTCGTAGGCTCAAACCATCAGGAAAACTAGCATCGCCTTCGCACTCGACTGCCCATGTGTGTGATGACCAGCCATCGAGAATTGAATTGCGAAGGACATGGAGTTTGTCCTCTGAAACCCAACACCATAGCTCAGTGACTTCGGTGCATTCCTTCTCAGTTCTTGCAGCAGTCGATTCGGCTGTTCTGCAAAACATCTAGGGGCTCATTGCAAGCAACACGTTCCTCGGGCCATTTCTGACTGCAGTAGTACTGTCGCTTGTACTAATCCGTTGGTGGGCCACCAGTGGTGGCACACCTGGGCCATCCAATGCAGTGAAACTTCCCGACGTGGTGCGTGAAATCCAGTCGAACACCAGCAATCTGTTGATGAACTGCATGGGCAGTCACTACGTGACAACTCGAACAGGCTCCGGTAAATGCTGCCTTTACTCTGCTCACCGAGATATCATATGCCATAAACATGTCCAGTTCAAATATACAGAGACTTTCGGAGGAGCAACTTGGAACATAGAACCTCTTGGCCATGGGTGTTTTTATGGGTTACTGTCCTCCTCAATCCACCGCAATGCAAAAGAGGTGTGCACATTCACATACAAATGCGCTTGCAAATTGGCAACTTGCCAACTTCGAAGCCTTTCATTTTTCCACCTACTTGCAGCAGAAACCGCACAGGCTGCTGGAGTGCTTGCCAGACTATCAACCAAACAATTGCGAAAAGGCTTCATCCATCACATGTGCACTGAAACGAAGAGTAGCCATGGAGCCGCAGTCAGGTAATTGCGTGTCACAGCACTGAGAAAGTTAACCACAGACAGCGCAGAGTGTGTGCATAAGGTCCCTGTGGTTGCGACTTGGGTCTGCAGGGCGCTGTGCTAGCTCGGCTAGACCAGGCGATCAGTCGCAGCAATGCAACAGAACAAGCATGTCAGATGCTTAGACGTTACCCCAGGGCAGAGTGCCTTTGCTGCGGCAGCAGCGAAACCTGTGTGTCGGGTCATGTATAGCAGCTTGCGATTACAAGCACAGCACAGGCGATTCCAACAACACAATATCAACATGTCTTTCACTGCTGTTGAACCACACCTCTATTGTTGGGGAGGCTGGGCTGGGTAAAGACCCAGTCATATCGTCACATACAGTGACGAACGCGCATGCAGCTTCAAACTAATGAACATTGAAACAAGGGATCTCAATCTGCTGTGGCAACAGGACAAAATGGTCACAACCTCGTTTGCACACTCTTTGCAACCTCGAAATAGTGTCGCACGTTGTCCTCTGGCGTCCCAGGCAGCACCCCATGGCCCAAGTTCATGATGTGGCGAACGCCCTGGGATTTCGCTGCCCTGATAATCTCTACGACGCGGTCCTCAATGACCTTCTGGGACCCAAACAGAATTCCGGGGTCCAGATTGCCCTGTGCATTCACATGATCTAGCTAAAACTGCTGGTCTGGCAACTCGACACTAACCGACAGCACATCTACTGCAGCCAAAACTGCCATTCCTTCCATCCCTTGTCTGCTCCATTTGTATCCCCCAAGGTCTCTTTGGACACGCACTGTCCAGATGAATACCAAGCACTCAAATGCACTAACGTGAAGTTGCTAATGTTAATTTGTTGCAAACATCTCCATGACCACTTCGATACAGATCTTGGATACAATACGGTTGGGAATGCTGCTATTTCTCTTTGCCATTCAGTTGGGGAACAGATTGCTTGAAACACTGTTGTGTGGGCAGTCAAGAATACCCTGCGCTCACACCCACACTGTTGAACAACGGACTCTTATTTCTGTTTGCATTTGCTGTTGCAACAAATGTGTTGACCTTGAAATAAGTAGAGATCTGCCAAATGCAACCAGCTGCATCTTCTGTGCAGTAGTGCAGTAGTTCTTTCTGTGAGGTAGTGGCAAACTTATGTACTGCATCAGCAGCAAACAATAAGTCTGGAAAGAGTGCTGCATCCATGTTCTGCTTCAGAAAAATCTTTTAGCAATTCAGCATCAGACAAATAAGGCCAAATACATATACAGCAAAACACCACACAGCAATTGACTCTAATGATGGTCATGATTGTCCCAAAGCAGCCCATGTTCATCAATGTTTATCAAGCAATATTTATGGTGGGCAGCTGCACAAGTAAGGAACCCGCCGCTGCGGGCAGCTGAATACACACACACTTACAGTACAAATACAAACAGTTTGCAGCAGGTAGGCGCGTAGGCCACTGAAACACTCACAGACTACACATGAGGCTTATTCTCATAGCCCAATGACTAGTGCTGCGTCTTGCATGTTGCAATGTTGGGACATACTCAACCAAATTTCTGGCCCCAGTGCTCAGCGGCTTGAATTACTGCAAGAAGCTCTGCGCTATAAATCTAACATGGATGACAATGACAAGATCTGCTGATCTTCTGCAAGAATTTCCACTAACTTGCCCGAGTTTGAGCACCAAATTACCCACGCTGTGTCTGTGTCAATTCAGTTGCAGGGCAACTATCCGCTCCTGTGCACAACAGATTGGGGTTTGGGGATTCAGCCACCACACCTGCACAGCAAATCCAGTCCCAATCCTCCTCATGGCATCTGTCATGTCTACACTGTGGTCAACGGAAATGACATCAGGCTTGCAAGCTGCCATGCGCTCCAAGAGTCCGCCACACCCACTGATGTAAAGAATGATAGGTAGATTGGGGTGAGACCCCCTCACACTGTCAATAATCTGCGTTATATAAGGTGCTGCGAAGACGTCAAAATCGGATGGGCTTAAGGAAGATGCCCAAGAATCAAAAATTTGGACAGCCTGTGCTCCACAGTCAGCCTGCAGCATAGCACAGAGGCCTCAGGATAGAGGACCTGCAGCACACACAGTGGCAACAGGAAAACGACGGCTGCTGCTGCAGCATGGCCAGTGCCGCACACCCCACCGGTTTTGCTGGGTTCAGTTAAACTAAAACTCTCTCACGCAAAATTAGTGGCACATACTGACACCTTTGCACAATATCAATGTGTCATAATAGACAATACTATATTGCGGTACATTGGCAAAATTACAAAGCCATACCTAGGTGCATACCAATGATCAGGCCAAAATGTTTCAATCAATCTACACAACGACTTCAATGTGACTGCACACTGCGTGCCTGATCAGAGCATGCGCGACCCAGCAGCTGTTTCCACACAAGTTAATTGTACCTGGAGGCCAGCTGTTGCCTCAGCAGATCGTGCAGCCATGACAACTGCAAGAAATCTGGAGCATTTCTTTAATGACACTCGTCAACCCATTAGTGTAGGAAAAGAACCTCTTGTGCTTGGCAGAAGGGTTTCCAGCAAAGGGTATTTTCAGTTCTTGTGGTTTGATGTTGCACTGAACGGAATTTTTCCCATGCATCTCGCAGTCACCTTGAACAGATCAAATAAAGAGCACGCAGTTACGAACAGCGAGTGCCAATTGTCCTCACAATGGATTGAGACCTTCACAGGATCCAACGGATCCAATATGCACGTTGCCAGTTACAAACAACAAAGGCAATGTATGCACATGCTCATGATGTGTTTCCACCAGCCCCGCCTCAAGGCCAACCAATGCTGAGCCCACGTATGTCAACGCTGTGGTCATCGACTTTATTTTACCACTGCTGGTCACAATATGGAGTAAAACCGATCCAGCCTTGAGTGTGTGGCACAAGACGTGTTGGTAGCTTTGACGCCTTTTAGAACAATGCAGTCCCATCTACAATATCAACAATGTAGTGACAATGCTACGACAATGTAGCAGCCATGTCTCGATTGGAAGAAACAATGGGAGAATGGGAGGCACATAGAGAGACAGAAATCCATCCAGAAAGTAACACATGGATCCACGAAGAGACCTAGGGATTCATGCGAATGTGCTGCTGCTGCAGGAGACAGGTTACTTCTTTGTGCATGCCACAACAACATTGCAAATAGCGTCCTGAATGCGCTACAACTATCCTCACAATACTGCACTGCCAAAATGTGGGCTCACCTGGTACTTGACGTACTTTGCAACATTGTCGGCCAGCTTTTGCAGCAGAGCATTCAGAACGTCCGGATTCGCAAAGGCCAATCTCTTGACATGAGTGTAATTTCGAGAAGAACCGCCCTCCACAATGTAGGAGGCAAGTGTGAATGGAGCCCCAACAAATCCCAGCACAGTTGCTTCGTTCCCAACTGCACTCCTGAGGCTTCGCAGTGCTTCCCCAACAAAGGGACACGCCTCATCTGAATTCAAGGGTGTCAGTGCGTCGACTTGCTGACAGAGGCAACACCACAAGTCAATGGGCAACATGCTGAACGAGCACCCCAGTGTTCAGCAGGCCACGCTGGGTTCGACCACAGGCAGAAAGCGGGCACCATGGCAACAACCCAAGCAAGCACAGACCTGGCAGCAGTGCTGCAGTTCACCAGCAGAGAATCAGTTCTACACCAGGACCATTGATAACGGCTTGAGGGCCAACCCACCTCCATTGTTCGAATAGGTTCATGAATAATGGGGCCCCTCCCCTTAACGATGTCAAATGCAATGTTCATTCCTGGCAGAGGTGTGAGAATGTCGGAGAAAAGGATGACGCCATCAGGCCGGAAAGCCTCCCAAGGCTGCAGCGATATCTCCACCTGGGTACACAGGGGCAGGGCAGGGCATTGTATAAAAGCCCCAATTGGTCAAAATTATTGAAAATCTGTTCACCGTTTAGTGCGTGTAGAAAGGGGTATGTGCGCCTTGCAGACCTGGCTTACTGGGCCAAGGCTAGAATGGACTTGTTGCTCACAAAGGCTTCAAAGTGCTGAAATCCAGAGAAGATGATACCCTTCACACATGCACACACACGCAGCCCTTGAGGCCAGAACTCAGGCCTTATCTGTGAAGTTCACACTTTCCTTGGCGGATGATGCCTTGGGTGTACAGTTACCTTGCAGTTCAGCAGACAAGGCAGCATAGTGATAGTGCTTTCTGTCACCAACGGACTAACGTCACACAATTTCACTGTGGATGTGTTTTGTCTATATAATGCTGCCATGCAGCAGAGCGCATTGTGCAATAACGAAGTTGACAAACGCTGCACAGCATGTAGGCAAGCAAAAAATGGCTACAATGAGCACAGACATGCAACTTGAAGGGGGCAGAACTGCACAAACACAACAGACGCCAACACCATGCACAATCCTACAGGCAACTCGACAGTACAGTCGACTCTCCTTCCAGTGCAAGCGATTCTTTCCCCCATTAGTCTCATTGGTGGCCATTCCACTTGCCAACTACAATTCATGCTTCGATTGGGTGCATCTTAACAAGCAAGCAAAGCATTCGATTTCATCTGACTTCTGATCTTTCAGCCCTTCCCCCACTCCCACCAAGTGACGCATTGTTGTTCTTTGAGGCTGGTCATGCATCTGGATACAAACACCTTTGGGGGGGCTTTGCATAGTGCTGTCTTGCACTTTCTTGCCAGACGGCAAAAGGCCTGCATTCCTGTTGTTAGGCCAGGGGTGGCACCTGGGCTCTCAAACGTGACGTAAATATTGGAATCGCAGACAAGAAATGTGCAATACAGGGCACTCAGCTGGGACTGGTGACTGCATTTCGACTGTGGCCACTTTTCGCACTTATGGACGTCAGCACCAAGATAAATGTGGGCGAATCCTGTCACCAAATGAGGGCAACGCTACAAAATCCACCCGCGACCCTCAGAAGCAATTTCTGTTCCCATAATTTTCTGTGCTGGAGCTCAGAGATCACTTCCGGCCCGGGTGGCGGGAAAGAGGAACGAATATTGGCCATCGACTGTCCCACCAAATTTCACGTGCGACGTCGCCCGCACTTGATGCGATCTGCGCATCGACTGGAGCGGCGGCCATCAAGAATCGCCGCCCTCTCCGCGGCGCTTCCGCAACGGCCTTACCGCAAGCTCCGAGTTCTCGGAGCGCTCCCTGAAGCTGGGGTGCTTCGCGCAGAGGTCCTGGTACGCCTGTGCCACCACCCGCCCATCGTCAATCATCAACACACCGCAGTGGCTCAGCCGCGCAATGCCATTGCCCTTTCCAAGCCATTCGCCCGCTGCCGCACTCCCATGACGCGCGGAAGCACCGAATAAAGGTCGTCGGCGATGGCACACACACCCATCCCCCCCCCCCCACACACACCTTCATGTATCTCCCTGCCTGCCGCATCATCCACACGGGGGGCCTGTCCACCACCTCGCCGTTGAGTGCCCTCAGCATCAGCGGTTCCTGCCCCGCGCCGTCCCGCGCCGCGGACGGCTTCACGTCCGAGGCCGTGGCCTGCGGCACCGACGGCCGGCAGCGGCATGGCCTGCGCGAGCCCGGGAGGGCGCCGCATGGCCGGGGGGCCGCGCACCACAAGGCGCCGGCGCGGTGCGTCGGGCCCTCCCCTGCGGGGGTCCGGTGGGACGCCATCGCCGAGGCCAGCGTGGTGCGCACCAACTTAGGCCAATGCACTGCGATCGCCAGTCATTTGGGACGGAAGCACGCCCCCCAAGTCCAGTGCACTGTACTTTGCGCGGTTTGCGTACTTTGCGCTATACTTTGCATTGTGTACTTGTACTAACCTAACTGACCTGGAAGGTCGCTGGCAAGGGGAATGCCTTCGTGCGGACAGACGGCGAGCCAAGTTTGGGGCAAGGCGTATGGCCCTGAGGCTTTCGCCGTTGCTTGTCCATTTGGCGAAGGGGACAAGTGGGACCCTCCTCTTTTGCCAGAGGGCCCTGTCTTGCGATTTGAGAGATCGGGCCTCTGTTGTCCCGAAGTTGAGCATGGCCGGCGCTGAGCCCAATGGTGCCCCGATGGTGGATGCCGACGATTTTCTGCGAATGGTGGAAGAATACAGAAAAGAAGACGAGCAGCGCGAGATAGTGATCAAGCGCAGCCGCGGTAAACGGTCTTCTTCGCTGTGTGTTCCGTTGGCTAGTGCCCAAACGATCGCGCCTTGCCAGCGACGTCGGCCGCATCACCTTGACCCATAGTTCGTCACCGCGCCTCACGTGCGTTAGCTGCGCAATGGTCCCCAGGAAGAGGCAAGGGCGCACTCGATATTTTGGTGATTGTTGCTTCACAAATATCTGGCGGTGCCCTTACCAGAATTCACCATCTCCAGATGTGCAGAAACTGTCAAAGCAGGCGATCTTCTCGCTCCATCGTGGCAACGCTTCCCAGGCGGAGACCCGCCTGCGTAATGCTGGTAACACACACGACGAGAATTCTCTGTCCGGAGTTGATGAAACATTGCCCATTCGCCTGCACTCCGGGTTGCGTTACTCCTGCGTTACTGCGTGTGCCCGTGACTCAGCGCCTCGATGGTTTGAGCCTGCTCTCTGCGAAGGGAGTGGCGAGCAATGTAGCGGGAAACGGATACAACCCGAAAGCCAGATGGGCAGCAACATAGGGGCAACTCCGTGGAGAAGACAGAATGCTCATGCAGAAGTGGTCGAATGCAGTACTTGGTCTTGTCGTTGGCGCACCATCCCATTTGAAGGATATTGCATTCGCCCGCTGAATACCCCTGCATTGTAGTGCATGCATCGTTGTGACTGCGTGTAATGCTTTAAACTGTCCCTGGTTGACTAGTACCAATATGATCTTCACACATTACCCAATGCTGCAGGGCACACATGAAAATCTTCTGCAACACAGTTTTCACTATTCTGGCATAACGTTTTGGCTTAACATGTTACTTTGAATGCACCGTGCGGAAACTCCATCATTGATATGCTGCAGCCACAATTGCTGTGGCTTGTCCCCTTGCCTTCTACAGAATATGTGCATGGTACAGATGCCAAATGAGAGTCAAGAGTTGTCAAAGAAAATGTAGTAGAGGTGCGCTATACAAGTGACCATTGTATGGCCTGGGCACAGCAGTGGGTGGCTAAGTCACAGTGGAAATGATGCTGGTTTGCTGTAAATTTGCTTGTGCATGTCTCAGTTCGCATCACCAATGAGCTTTCACCCATCATTTATGAGTGGCCCAAGCTGCGAAGTGGTTCTTTCGCATATGCTCTTGAGGAGGTGATGTGCTGGCACTAAGGAAAAGATGGATATGAGCACAAGGAATTGCAATGCCGAACTTGTCATGCAATGCACTGCGGTGGCTTGAACACAGGAATTCTTGTGAAAATATGAATGTTCTGTGGTGCTGGTTGAGCCTATTCTTTGTTGTGGTGCTGTTGTTTCATAAATCTGCAACTGGCCAAATGTTGGCTTCAACAACAGACCTGTCTTTCTCTTTGAAGCAGTAACACAGCACTGTGTTACTTTCTGTACACAGTATGCTGAGGCAGTGGCATTCAGAGGATACCTGAAGGAAGGAAGGCTGTTAAAGCTGGCAGAAGTCCAGGCAGAGGTCCCACTTGTGGCCGTTGAAGAGTAAGTGCCAGTCCACAATATCAGCATGCACTGGTGAAGGCAGCAGCCGTGCAGTTTGCAACCTTCAGGTGAATTCGAGTCTGCCCCAAATTTGATTCCTGCACCTCTCTTTTTTATGCAGATATTTGGGCGGTGTGTTGGACTTTACAGGGGAATTGCTTCGTTACAGCATTTTCAGGGCCACTGAAAGGAACATTGAAGCAGTCCAAAACTGCAAGGATCTTGTTGAGGGACTCATGGAGGCATTCATGGAGGTGTGCAGGCTATTCCACATTGTTGAAAGAGCACAACAGTCATTGGAGTTGTTTGTTATGTTTGTTCAAGCCTCTGGACTGTTTCTTGTGATTTTGGCATCTGCAGATGGCTGCCTGCGGAGTGAAAGGTGTCAAAAAGTGACCACAGACTCTCAGCAGTGGGAATTGCTGGTTGTCTGCAAGAAGTTCCTGGATACTCGATGCCGCGGCTGATTTTTTTTGTCCTCTGTGCAGTTTGATATGCGAAATGGCCAGCTGAGGAAGAAATATGACAGTTTGAAGTACACACTTTCAAAGATGGAGGTACGCCACCAAAGTCCTGTCAACAAAGCACAGCTTGTGCCATTGCAATGTCACTGGAATGTCAAGCCGTAATCGTTGTGTGCATTTTGCAGAATACACTGTACGAGCTGTCACTCACTGCATCAGGACTGAGAAAGGACATTGGCAGGGTGAGCTTTCATGAATTCCAGACCCTTTGCACTAATGTTTCAATATGCGCAGAATGAATCCCTCGTTGCACAGTATGCAATTTGCACAGAAATAATCCCTCGCTGCCTGTCAAGTACGTCTGTACACAGGTCATCTTGGAATTGATCACTGAAGGGCCTAATCACGCCCTACTTTCCTGCACCTGCCTTGCGCACCTTCTTTTGTTGCATGGCGCACAGGTAGTGCTCAGTTTGAGGTTTCAATTTGCAACTCTAGCATGGCTGTTGTTCCGTCGTGAATTGCCCGGGCTGGTTCCATTGACATGACATTGCCTGTTTGTTTCTCAGGAAGATGACATGGTAGCACATGGAACTGGCGAAGATTGAATGCACAAAAGCCCTCCGAACAATGTGTGGACACAGAACGGACGCAAAGCATAACGAATTGCATGTATGCAACCAGAGTCGGAAGTTGCTCTGTGGCTGGGATTCTATGGCCATTGGGTGATTAGATTTCCGTCATGTGTAATGGTGAAATTGGTTCCACGCACAATAGCTGTGAAGTTGATAACTAGAAAAGGTCCCAAATATGTGTCTTTGGCTCCCAGTCTTCAATGTTGTTTTGTGAACGCACCGGGTTGGTGTTGACTGTTGCAGTGAGGAATGGCTGACCTAGCTGTTGACGCTGAGAGAATGATGAGCACATTCCCACATTCTTGCAATAGAGTTTGCCTGCCCGCGTACCGCCTGGCAATCTGTGCAGGCCAGACCTGGTGCCTGCTTCTTTGCCCCTGTCACGTATCTTACCAACTAGTTGCCACTTAAGCAGCCTATGATGACTGGGTTCCTCCATAGGATCCTATTCCCTGGAAAGCATCACGAATTTCCACTGTTACATATTATCGGAGTCGTCTGAAGGACGATCGTTTGACGCGCACCTGTGAAAATTCTCCACCTCCAGCCGCCTGTGGAATGCGCCAAAAGCAGCCGGCAATGTCCAGGCTACGAGCTTGGGGAACAGCGTGGGCAGTGGTCACCACGTTCCCAGGCATTGTGGGCTTGGTTGATAAAAGTGCGAAATGGGAATGACTGATGGGGGATACCATCTTTGAATATCCAGCAAGCATGCTGGCCACGCCGCCAGCGGCTGTTGCTGACTTAACGATCCCCCACCTGCCTGCCTCAACAGTCCCCACCGCTGTTCAACGCCACCCTTTTAATCCCATCCTGTCCGCACAGGATGAAAGGTGGTACTGATGCGGGGGGCCACTCACGACGCACCAACCGATCGCGGCCCCGCGCTTGGGGCTCGACGTCGACCGGGGCGCCGATGCCACACGCTGATATCGGGAGCCCGAAGTTTGTCTCCTGCTCCGATGCGCCCCCCACATTGGAATCCCACATGGGAAATGACTCGTCCGACAGTTCCGTAATCAGAAGGCCCTTGCAAAGGACTGCGGTCCATTCTGGCCGTCGTCCCCAGAGATAGCGCAGTAAAATCACCCTCAAACGGGCAGCTGAGCCATGTCGACAGCCTCAGCACCACATCAGTTGAGGGTGCACTCAACGAACAAGCTTTGCCCCTCGCGCGAACTGGCTCTTCGTGAAGAACTGCTTGGCACGCCGACACCACCACCAAAACAGAGGCGACAGCAAGGGCAAGCTTGGAGCGGGTAGCAAACGTCTAGCTGCCAGCCAGCCATGCAAATACGCTTGTAGAACCTCTCACAGCTGCCGCTCTGAGCGCCGCAACCGGTCGCAACTGCTCCTCAACGGTCGACGAAGTCAAAACGGAGGTCAGGTCCATGGGTCAGGGCTGCCTTGTCCACAGCACGTCAGTGTACGACACGGGAAACGCTTCTCTCCGCCTCGAGAAGGCTGTGCAGCGACGAAGGGTGGTCGCTTCTGGCCAGCAACATGACCGCGCTGGCATTGTTGGTCTTGATCGGCAAGGAAAGCGGCTCAGAAAAGGCACAGACTGGCCGCGACCTTCGAAAAGGTCGAACGCTATTGCGCTCAGGCTGTGGCGAATGTTGCGCACACGGCCAGGGGAGTCAGGCAGCCAGGCTGAGTGCCTAGACTGCCGCGAGAGGCACACGCGAACGCCGCACAACCGTTCTTACAGCTGCCAGGCCGAGTGCAACAATACAGAGTTTCCCCCGCGTTGTCCGCAACCCTCTGGCAAAATACCCCCATTCCTAGGAGATGATCTTTTGATACCCGGAATCTTTCTGCCACACCCGCAGCTTCACCACAATTCACCCCAGGACGCCCCACTGCCCACAATCAGCCACCACGTAATGCCCCAAGGGCCACATTCCCACCAAACAACCACACTTCCCGTGGTCAGCAACATGTAGTGCCCCATGGGGCATATTCCCATCAAACAACCACGTGGCGCCTCCATGCGCCCCTGCTGGCTCCGTCTCGCCGCGGTCAATGGCAGACCGCCAGGCGGGCAGCCCCTAAGCAAACGCACGTATCCAGTGGCAACCCGGGTGTTCCTCAGTACTCCAAGGCGTATTCGAGGCATGTTTGACTCATGTGCCTCCGTGCAATGCGCTGCCACGTATTGGCGTTGTGCTCAACATTTTTATAGTACCTTGGTGAACTCTTTGGGCATATGATGCAGTTGCCATCATCTGTCTTTGTCATCAAAGTCATCCCCCTGCATTCTGAGTGCCTTGAGCTTGTAATTTGATGATGATCAGTGTGGCGAAGGTGCTGAGGCTATCGACACCCCCTCTGCACCATTTCCAGACCTCACGGGTCGCCAGCTGAGTGATACCAATATTTTACCAACTTTTTGATGAGCCCCATTAATTGACGACCCGAACACCCTCAAAAAGTGACAAATACTTTTCGAAATGCGGAAATGCTAGATATGCTACAGTATTCTATTCTATTTTGACCCAAAAGTTTGGGTTGAAATAGAGTTCTTTCTTGGGTTGCCGAATGAAAAACGGAAGACCTCGACTTGCAGAGAGAAGTCCAAATTGCGAGGCACGCGCCTTGGTGTCCAAGACCGGAGCCGCGCACCTGCCACTGCCACACTGCCCTGAGGCTTTCCGTTGGCTCGTCCCCGTCTTGCGTGCCCCTCAGAAGACCGACAGTATGTCGTCGACGGACTCCGAAGCAGAAGAGCCAGAGTTGGATCTTTCCAACGTGCGTCGATTCGCGCAGTCCGCGGCGCTCTGCCGCCATTGCAATCGCCGCGCATGATCGCCTGACCCGTTGTGCTTTCTTCCTGCTCCAGTCCGACGTCGTCACGAAATACAAGGCCGCAGCCGACATTTGCAACCGTGAGTGCGCACCATAGACTCCTGCAGTCCACGCCCGCTCGATGGGGGCGACAGGTATTGGACCACCACAGGTCGGCGATTGACTAGGACGATTTGCGCTCTGGCGCAGGAGCACTGGCGACCGTGGTTACCGAGTGCGTGGAAGGGAAGTCCATAGTGGACCTGTGCAAGCGAGGGAACACCGAGATCGAGGAGTGAGTTTCCGTCCCCTGCCCCCGTCGGTTGTCCCCTCCTGGTGCTGCCCTGGTGTCGCATCTGTGACGTGCCGCCATTGGCGCTGAGGGCGTCCTCCCCCGCGACGTGCTAAACTACGGTAACCCAACTGCGCAGGCTGGTGTCAAAGGTGTTCAAGGGCAAGGAGGTGGAGAAGGGCGTCGCCTTCCCCACTTGTGTCTCCGTCAACAAGTGGGTGCGCCCTACACGTGGAAGCAAGTCCCTCCGGGAAACGCCTGTGGGCGCGGCGCGCTGGTGTGCTTGCCCCGAGTCGCCCGTCGCTGTGTGTTGCCGGTTGTTGAGCGGATGCCTTTGGTGGCTTGCAGCTGCGTCGGCCATTTTTGCCCCCTGGAGAGCGACGCCACGGTCAAGGGCGGCGACGTCGTCAAGATGTGAGTATGGGGCCGATCGGATCGCCCCGGAATCGGGTCATTTGCGCCCAACGGATGCCACAGCGTTCCTCAATCAGACCGCGCTGCCGCGCAGCGTCGGTCGGCCGAAGCTCCCCGCGCAAGGCGTCTTGTTTTGACACCCGTCCTCCTATTGCAACCGCAGAGATCTGGGCTGCCACATCGACGGATTCATCGCCGTGCAGGCGCAGACGATCGTCGTCCAGCCTGAGTTCGCGGCTCCAATCACAGGCAGGGCTGCCGACGTGATCGCCGCCGCGCAGACCTGCTTTGAGGCCGCCCTGAGGCTCGTGCGGCCGGGCAGGCGCGTGTCCGACGTGCCCGGGCCGCTGCAGACGATCGCCGAGTGCTTCGGCTGCAGCCTGGTGGACGGCGTCATGACGCACCAGCTGAAGCGCTTCGTGATCGACGGCAACAAGTGCGTGCTCAACAGGCCCAGCCCGGACACCAAGGTGGAGGACGGGGAGTTTGAGGTCAATGAGGTCTACGCCATCGACATCGTGGTCAGCACGGGCGACGGCAAGACGCGGATCCTGGACGAGAAGGAGACCACCATCTACAAGAGGGCGCTGGACATGGAGTACCACCTGAAGATGAAGGCTTCCAGGACGGTGTTTGGGGAGATCAACAAGCGGTTCCCCACGATGCCTTTCACGGTGGGCGCGCTGTCGGACCCGCGGACCATGCGGCTGGGCCTGGTGGAGTGCCTGAACCATGGCCTGCTGCACCCGTACCCCGTGATGTACGAGAGGAATGGGGAGCTGGTGGCCCAGGTGAAGGCCACGGTGCTGCTGATGCCCAACGGGTCGGACAGGGTCACGGTGGCGCCCCAGCAGGTGGTGCAGTCCGAAAAGAAGATAGAAGACGCGGAGGTCCTGGAGGTGCTGAAGAGCGGGTACAAGACCAAGAAGAAGAAGAAGGGCGGCAAGAAAGGGGCCGGCGAGGAGGGGACGGGCCAGGCAGCAGCCACTTCAGGGGCATGACGGCCACCACTTGGCATGGGGAGAGCTGGCTCATGGGATGCGGCGCACTGCAGTGGAGCGATGCGCTGGTAGTTTGGGCTGCCAGTTGTGACTGGGGGCAAAAGGAGTGCAGGCAATCATTTTTTGCATCAACTGCCCGCCGGGCAAACAGTTTATGAGGAGAAAGTATCGAGGGGAGCCGTGTACCATATTCTACGTGCATCAGGTCTCCAGTCTGCGCTGATGCCTTTATGACCAACATCAGCTGCATCTTGACATTCAATGTTCCGAACATAGGAAGTATTTGGGTTTGTTGCACGAAAGGGCTTGATCAGACCCTGGTACTCCTGCAGTTTCTGTGCATAGCACTTCATGCAGGGAGTCCAGTCTAGTCCAGTTGATCTTGGATGATGCTTTTGGAAGTTTGCTGAGTGACCCTGGAATGGCAAAGGCATATATTATGTCGTTCCAGCAAACATTTGATTTTTGTGGAGTTGACAGTTGTGTTCCTCAATGGTAAGATACCAACTGCCATCTGCTATCTGCAGCTGAAACCACACAGTGCCCTGTCGCGCTGGGGACTTCCCCAAGAATGCCACAATATATGTGCAACCTGATCAACCAACTCTCAACAATATCATGTTCACTTCCCCGCTTGCTTGCAAACTGTACTATTCACTTCACGGTATAATTTGTGTTGATCCCATTCAGAGAAGCACGTCGCTTGAAAACTGTGCTATTCCTAACGAGTGAATCCTGGTACCAGAAATGCATGTGAAAGCACGCTTGTGTTGCAGCGCTCAGTGGTTGGCTGAGTACCAAGATCCTGGTGGCGACCACCTGCTTGCTGGCACTGAACAGCCACCAGCAGGACCTGTGCAGGATGTGTGTGCATGGCGCATTGATTCACGACTCCATCCCGTTTGCCAATCTTTTTGAATTCTTGTAGTACCCCATGAAAGCAGCAGGGAGACGATCAGACAAATGTCATCCCAACGTCGGTTTGTACAAACCAAACCTTTGCGATCTGCACATGGCATTCTTCATGCAGCAGCAAGGTCCAAGCAATGCTGTGCCAGAAGTTCTCCTGCCATTCTGCAGCCCAAGTGCCCAGAAAGTCCGATACGCAAGGCATAACTTGGAACCAGAACCTCAAACAAGCCAAATCCAAATACCATCCATACAAATGATGGCGATTTCCTTTGCAAACGCGCCATTAACCTGTCCTTGGTAAGTGTCCTAAGCACAAACAGCATAACAGTACACTCGTACAACCCCCAGTTGGTCGGCAAGGTCGTCTTGGGCGATGTCCCCTCTTGCTAACCCAATACGTGGTATCAGGGCGGATATCGGCCAGAAGACCGTTTTCCATTATGGCGGGCCCTCTCTGGCACAATGAAGACCTTGCATAGGGAAGAAACTATTTTGAATTTGCGTGCTTAGCATCAATGTGATGTTGAGCTCACACACACACACTCACTTCCTTAGCATCAATCCTTGCTTTATTTTAATGCCAGGATGACTCAGCAACATTGCCTAACAGTGTCATACAGCTTCAAGAATGTTTAGGAAGAAAACTGGCCAAATTAGCATCAATCCTTGTTTTATTTTAATGCCAGGATGACTCAGCAACATTGCTTAACAATGTCATACAGCTTCAAGAATGTTTAGGAAGAAAACTGGCCAAATTTTATGTTGACCGCAAGTGATTTGAGAAGCCATGACAGGCGATGGGAGCAGCACCAAAGCCTGAAAAATGATGCAGGCCGGGGACTGGCTCCATGATTGAAAGTTGAGGGAGGTTTTGCAACAAGTGATGAGCAATCTGCTGCTGATTTGTGGCGCTTTTGTGCATCTTCCCACCTTATTTTGATTTTAGTGCAGTTACATAATCTGTTAGCCTGGATGGCTGGACACCCCCCACCCCCCTTAACGCCAGTTTGACGCCAAGCGTATAAAAATTCCAGAATAGTGTCTGCCCTTAGCGACCGCCTATCATCCTCTCTGGCCGGTGGCTGGCCAACGAGGGCAAGAACGACCGTACCCAAAGTTCCTTGTGGCCCACATTCCAAGCACAGAACTGCAATCTCGGCAAGGCCCCCAACTGCATACCGTGCCCGCCAGTCTCCCAGCGCGCAGTGTGGAGATGCCCGCGCAGTGCGCCTTCGCAGCCCAGAGGCCCGCAGCCCCCGTCGCCCACCCAAAGTCCCTGGGGGCGCGGTGCCAGAGGCGCGGGCCGTTGGGGGGCGTCGGACGCCTGTGGCGAGGGAGCAGGTCGTTCTGCAATGGGGAGCGGCCGAAGTTGCCGCCGACAAGGGCCCAGCCGTTGCCGAGCTCCTGGGAGCTGCAGGAATCCTGGGAAGCCGAGGGATCCGCGATCACCGCTGAGGACGAGCTCGAAGACTGGTTTGAGGTGAGAATGGCCGACCCGGCGGGCTTGGCGTCCTTCTTGAGAAGGGGAATGGCGCCCCGTTCAGCCGCGACAGGTGGTCGCTGTTGGTTCACGCAAAACCCTCCAAAGATTCGGGGGCAAGAAGGTGGGCACTTCGTTTGAACCGATGCCTGCGCACCACGCTCGCAATCCGAATTGACGTTGCCGGCCTTTTGGTTCCCAAAAGATTGATGGGGATCCACAACCATCGACGGAAGATGTGAAGTGGTTGTGCTGGACGGATGGGCAGCTTGGCAGCGCGAACGTACTGATTTTGAATTCCTTTCTCCAGGACGATGGCCCAGGTGGTGACATTCAGGAAGCTATAGCGATTGCTCTTGCTGCACTGCTCTTGGCTGGGACCATCAACATTGGCTGGAGGCTGTTGGTGGTGTGCATTTCCGTGGCATCAACGGCATTCAAGTACTCAGCAGTGGCACTTTTGCTCCTGTTCTTTGTTGTGGTTACCATTTAGAATCCAGCCCCTGCATTGCTGCCATTGATATTGCCAAGTGGATAATGGCGGCTTGTGGGAGGGTGATGACTCAAGTGGGCCATGGAAGGTTTGGTGCAATGTGCAACAGTCTTCATTTCCGGTGTTGGAAGTCTGCCTTCCCTCTGGGACCAGATCGAGGGCATGGTGGGTGCCAAGGCACACAGTGGCTTTGCACAAAGGCATCAAATTCTGGTGTTGAAACTGCCGAAGAGAAGCCAAGCGAATGTGACACGCTGCCCATTTCTTGGACCCAGGCTTCCAGTGATGCCATGGTCTCGGTCATTGCGGAGTTGGAATGGCCCCAGCCCACTCAAGCCTGTGGTGCTTTCAGGGAAGCCCATGCAGGCCAAAGGGTCAAGGTTTGTGGCTGGGTGGATGGATATTGAAATTTTGGTGGCATAATTTTTCTTGATGTCAGGGATCACTCTGGTCTGCTCCAGGTTGTGAGCGAGCCTGGGCCAATAGACACCAGTTCCACTGCTGGGCGGCTCCAGAAGGAGTATGTAATTTGTATCTCAGGATTTGTACGCATAAGGAAGGACCCGAACCCACGCCTGCCGACTGGATGTGTGGAAGTCTTGGCTGAGACGATAGAACTTCTGAATCCTATTAGGCAGAAACTCCCATTTCCTGTCAGCAGTGCTGAGGAAATAGAGGCACCTCGTGAAGAGCTCAGGCTGCGGCATCGGGTCCTTGATCTCAGGAGGCCCACCATGGCAAGTAATATTCATCTTCGTCATCGCCTTGTGAAGACAATCCGGCGTTTTCTTGAAGATCGGGCAGACTTTATAGAAGTTGAGACGCCAATCCTGACTCGATCTACACCAGAGGGTGCAAGGGATTATTTGGTGCCAGCCAGGAACAAGCCAGGGGAATGGTATGCACTGCCCCAGAGTCCGCAGCTGTTTAAGCAGATGTTAATGGTTGCTGGGTTCAGTCGATACTACCAAATTGCTAGGTGTTTCCGAGATGAAGACTTGCGTGCAGACCGACAGCCCAAATTCACGCAGCTTGACATGGAGATGGCGTTCATTGACAGTGAAGGGATAATGAACTTGGTGGAGGACCTCATATGCACAGTTTTCTCAAAAGTTGTGGGCATCAACCTGCAAAAGCCTTTCCCAAGAATCACATATTCCGATGCCCTTAGCAGATATGGTACAGACAGGCCTGACACCAGATATGAGCTGCCGATGGCAGATGTTTCAAAGGTCGTTGCAGGTTCGTCTTTTCGCGTGTTTTCGGATTGTGTTGCTGCAGGCGGTGTTGTTAAGGCTCTGAGAGTCCGACAAGGCATCAGGATATCCAACTCCCGGGTGAAAGCAAAGGGCGACGTGTTTGCTCAGGCTGTCAATTGTGGGGCCAAAGGGCTGGTGTACATTCGGGTTGAGGAAGGGAAGAAAATCGTAGCAGCCAAGAACGTAGTGGAAGGCCTGTCCCAAGAACAGAAAGAAGAACTGCTCAATGTCTGCGATGCAGAGCCAAAGGACCTCTTGCTGCTGGTGGCCGCAGAATCGATGCACCATGCTAACCGGGTGCTCAGTGACTTGCGCTTCTTCCTTGCCAAAGATTTGGGAGAGTTCAGAGAGACAGATGATGCTTTGGTTTGGGTGACAGAGTTTCCGATGTTTGAGTGGAATGACAATGATGAGCGTTGGGATTGCCTGCACCACCCCTTCACCGCCCCCAGTCCGGCAACCATTCCTGAAAATGGTGACCTCACAGGAGCAACGGCGTTGGCCTATGACCTAGTTTACAATGGCGTCGAGATAGGGGGCGGCAGCATGCGCATCTACAAGCGTGAACTTCAAATGCAGGTCTTCAAAACAATTGGGTTGTCCGATGACAAGGCCAAGGAGAAGTTCGGGTTTCTTTTGGACTGTTTTGATATGGGTGCACCCCCACATGGTGCTATCGCTTTTGGTGTGGATAGACTAGCCATGCTGTTGGCTGGGGCCAGTTCCATAAGACACGTCATTGCCTTCCCTAAAACTACTCAGGCTGAGTGCCTATTGACTGGAGCCCCAGCGCCGGTAAAATTGGGACAGCTTGATGACCTTGGGGTGCGCATGCAAACCAAGGATGCTGGCAGCGAGTCGTAGGAACACTGGCACACATGGTATGTAAAATTCGAAATTGTGTGTGAATACCCGTGAGGTGGTTCCACAAATAACCGGACAGTGCATGCCCTGCTGCTGAGTAGCGATTTTTCCCTGTTGGAGTCTCTAATTCAGCTGTAGGTGTAAGTGTTGCTCTCCCTACGTGGCTTTTGTAAAGGCCCCTATAGGAGTTCTCTTGGAGCAGATCGCCCTGGCCATCTTCTTTCCTGTGGACGGCGAACACAGTCGACGTACACACGTCAGGTTGCAGGGCACATCGGGCTACAACCACAGAGTGGTGCATCAGGATGGTAACAATGGGCCCATGGTATGAATGGCTCCTGCAGCAAGCAGGTGACGTGCGAATTCTCTGCCTGCAAAGGCCGGGATGGCCAGAGCCCGATGTTGCTGCTGTGCAGTATGCTCACCCATCTCTCGATCCCCTGTCTGATGAGGCATGAGCCATGACTGACGATTGTCTGCATCCTCCACGGGAGAAGGCCGTGGCGATTGTCGATCGCCACGTGCTAGACAGGGCTGCGCGGCTTCACTGCCAGGCTCAGGAGTGGCGTTGCCTTCCCATATTAGGCCACTTTCTTGCATGGCTTCTTTGGTGAGGCTGGTCCTGTCAACTGACCTGTGGCACCGCGACCACAACAACGTCAGTTGCTGTCCCGCATGGACCCAATGCAGTTTACCACCCTTCCCCATATCATCAAAAATGTAGATGCGATACCCTCCAAGTGCAACAAAGACAGGACATCGCTTTCGTTGGCAGACGTCGGCTGAATTGTTCTCTGGACCTCAGTTTTGCTGACGGCCAGTGCACGTGTTTCAAGATGGTTAGTACCCATCGTCGTGGAATGAAAGCGCCGTCGATTGCGCATCACCCATCTGATGGACCACTTAGCTCAAGCAGCGCCCATTTTATGGAATTTTGGGATCTGGACCCATTGGTGTGGAGAGCGCATGCGCATCCACACTTTGCATGATTTGGATAGACCAGCGAATGTCTGGTAAACGCAGACACTAAAATCCGGATTTAGAATTGGATACTCGGATCGTCTCTGGCACGACTTACGATTTGGGTTGCTCCTGGAAAAGCGACGGGTTCACGGCTTCGAAGTAGTTGCCACTGGGCGTTCTGGACTTGCGAACCTGGGGCGCAGTGCACAACAGCCGTTGTGTACGAAGTGCACCAGGGGCCGCGGGAATGATGCACATTCTTTTTGACGTCTGGAGATGGAGATCTAGAAATGGAAATGTCCATTTGCCTTTGTGCACCCTAGCAGGGAATTCGAATCAACTTGTGTCTGCAAGACAATCCAATTTCCACACGTCTCCGCACACGAGCCAACCTCCGCATACACACACTGCACGTTTGACGGGATTGGCACTACCCCACCTTTGTCGACATTTCCTTCGCCTTGACTCCCCCCTGCAGATCGAACCATCTTTCTTTCAACGACCGACGCTCCTCCCTCCCCACAAAGCTGCATTCCACAATTCCACTGGGACTGCACTGCACTGAAACTCTCGCGCACGTTCGTTTTATGGCAGCACGGAACCTGCATGTGCAATGTCAAACGGCCATTCTCTGGTGCTTTGAGAGACAGATCGCAGGTCAGGACTTGCTTTCCCCATACTTCCACATTGCATTCACGCAAATAGCACTTCAGCGGCCGCCCTGAAATAATCTTTGCTTCAGATACTGCAGACGTTGTGACCCTTTTGCAAATTGCATGATGAGAGCTTGGCCGAGCAAAACCGACATCCATCCAAAGTCATTATGTCGAAAACGCACTCCAACATCTTTACACCAGGCAGCTACCGTCACCTGGGCATAAATTGGAAGAAACAGCCTCTTGGTTACATCTTCAGGTGTAGAAATCTCTCCCTTCGGCTCCTCCGTCCTTTTGAGTCCCTCCCCAATCAAATAGACTTCTGTTGGCGTCAGTTGCATTCCTGAACATTAAGATTAGGGGACATGGCTGGACACTGACGATGTTCCAGGCAATGTTTCGGCAGCGACTGCGGCCTTTGTTTCTTACAGAATGAGGGATTGAAATGGAGCAAGCAATCAATGTATGCCAAGCTGGCTCGTGGACCATCAAGGCATGGCTTTAACTGGCAATATTCAAACATGTAGCTGGGGCGAAACTTGACCCCAAGATTTATGGGATGGATAATCCACCATGCATTGCCCACGTCATTTTTCCATATTGTTTCTCTCTCCGCCTTGCATCCCCTTGATGATATTGGAATTTAACTGTCCAAATGCACGATGCACTAAATTTTGGCACAGCCAAAAGACTTAGATTCGTGACGACATGTGCAACTCTATGATCGAATCAGCAACGGTCATCTGTCGACCTGTGTACAGTGCCTGTGAAGAAATCCGCGAATTACAATAGTGTAATGAATTGACTGTTGTGCCAGACCGGTGGGATCAATGTGCGGTCAATCGGGAATACAGCTCCACTAGCATTTCACTGCGCATGCTGGGTTTCTGCACAAATCGCACCATGAATTTCGCGCGGATACATGTGCTTAGATTGACGGTATGAATCTCTGCCAAATGGATGCAATGATGTCACATCGTGCTGGATGTTGGCCCGGATGTCCGCGACATCGCCGCTCGTGCTTTGAAAGAACAGGATTCGAGGCGGCCTTTGGCGGCGCCATTTTCGAGCGATGAACCGATGTCGTCATCATCATTCATTCCCATATCCCAAAAATTGAACCGACGTCATGTGGGGGAGTGGCCCAGCACCGGACAGACGTGCACGCCCATTGAAGCAGACCACAGCGCCACTTGTTGACCGGAGGAACAGTAAGCACCCATCGTTTGAAGGTCAACCTAATTGTCTTGTCTTCACATTCCACGCAGATGGCAGCTGCAGCGTCACTCACTTGTGGGGGCCCATCCACAGTGTCACCCTCAGCAGGGCATTGAGTGCAGCCGTAGATCCTGTCGTTCTCCTGCAGGCAGCGCCGCGGCACAAGTGGGACGGAACCGTGGCTTCGGTGTGGCACATTCACATCGCGCTGCCCTGGACTGTTCGGCAGCCAATGCCCACCTCGCAATAATCCTGAATCAGCAGGTTGAGATGCTTCCTCCTGTATGGGGAGGTTGCGAAGCTGTCGTGCTGGCGAGCGGGATACTTTGGAGCCATTGTTGCGACAGAACAGGCCGAAGGCGTGCGGGCCTTTTGAAGCCTCCCTGGGAGAGATCTGCTGAACTTAGCCCTCCTTGTTGGGTGAATCCGTCAGAATGTGTTAAAACGCATTTTTCACAGTCCGTTCATTCGTTCATTCATTTCATTCAGGGAATGTTTCACAGTGTAGTGTCTGAAATATCTGTAAAAGAGAAGAAGTGGGCTATTACCGCTAATGAAAGGGATACGCAAACCGCAATGGGGTGTGTGGCAGTGGCGGCTTTTGCAACAATCACAATGACCAACAATGCCTGCCTTCATTCCGTGCAGCGCGGGGCTTCCATAACAAACAGATACAACCGCTTCCCCATTCTCATCATTCCGTTTCCTCGCACCAGCTGTGCTTTTCACTCAGAGCTAGCCTCCACAGGCGAACGTTCAAACACATATACATCGCATCAAGGACAGAGGGGAGCAACTGCTTGCAAACCAACTCCGCGAGTCTCTCACCAAAGCTGTCGACGGTTCCGCCGCGTGCAAATGGACGCCTCCCCCAGCGTCTGCATCGCCAACCAGTCTGCAAGGACTTGGATCGATGAAGCAAAGATACGCGCGTGGGGTGCTCGACTGACTTGGTCGATGTCACTGGAGCCGGTATGTGGATGCGTTTGAGCAGCCTCCCGTTACGCGGCGTTCGTTCGTATGAGCGGCAGTGCTTCGTTCGATTCACATGAATCACCTACTCGTTTGCGGGGGCGCAGTCCATAGCATGGTAGTCATGATACGCTCAGTGCCCCACATGCTGGAATGCGGAATGAGAAATGAATTGATATGGCATGTCAAAGCGTAACTTTGGTGAGGTGCAAGGTGAAGCTGTGGCAGCCCTGAACAAAGCCTGTGGCAGCTTCAACATGAACGCGGGAAGAGCATCTTCCTCTGCGGGTCAAGAGTGGCAGATCGCAGATACGCCCCTTGGTGTGTGGGGTGCAATAGGGCACGGGGGTGGCATGGGGTCATGCCATGGGTACCAAAGCGATGGGCAAGTCATCAATGCCCTCCAATCAAATGTGGACCAACCACATCGAATGGTACAAAGCGAGTAACAGTAAGTGTAAGCCTCAGGCGGACACAGCGTGCATCGCTCGCACCCATGGTTTTTTCCCTGGAAGTTAACGTCCTTCATTCCTCGGACTGCCAAATGGGACTTATCAACGCGACCTTCACAGCGATGTAGATTCGAGAACTCCAATCTGCGGAATTGAAGATCCTATTAACCCATTGCTCTAAAGGGATGGACGGCCATGCCAGGATTTGATATTCTCCCACAAGGGTGCTACGGTCGCCTTCTTTCTCGCCAATCCGCCCGAGAGAGCGCATGAGCAGTGCACCGATCTCTGCGCAAGGTTGGTCACGTTGCTGCGCAGATCACTGCTGACAAGCTGCATCGTTATGTATACGTCACGGGCACCAGCCTTGACGGCCAGTATCAACGCGACAACACAAGTGACTTTGTGTAATGTCGGTTGATGGCATTTTGCTTGTTCGGCCGCAGTTTGCA